ACAAGAGACACGTAAACAGGATCTTGCGTTTAGTTTCAAGAAAGTTGTATCTTTTTCTTTTGTTAATTTGAATCATTTGTAAGCGTTTATAAGTTAATGAATCAATGACTAAGGTGACTTTTCGACGAAACAACTGGCGACCACACAGTGGGCAGCCGACAGCCTTTCTGGCGAAGGCTGACGTGTCGCAACCTCGGATCCCGATCCCGGTTGAAAACACGAGGTCGAGATATGAGTTCGACCGAGCAGAAGACGATGGAGTACTTGTCCTCCTCGCTCCAGATCGGCCTCTCCTCGCAAATCCAGGAAGGTCCTAATCAGGAAGACGCCGCTGGACGTCAAACTGCACGAAGCCGCAAGAAAGAAGATCTTCCCGGCTCTGACACCGCTGCCGCGTGGCTTACAACGGTTGCCCCGTCGGCATCCGACGAGGCTAAAACTACAGATCTGAACCCCTTAAGGCAAAGGGTCGACTGTTGAGGTGTGCCGCATCTATCAAAGAGAGGCACGTCAGAGCGACGTCACGCCCGCACGCACAAACTGGCCAAAGCCTTGAGACCAGTTGATGGAGTCCCGCTATGAGAGCGGATTAAAGTAGAGAGGCGGCCAACTCACCACAACAGAGAGTGGACAGCCCCTCCTCTTTTTAAACAGTGAAATGAACGGAATGGTTCGCGTTCCAAAAAGGAACGATCCTCTTCAAAGAGCGGATTCAACTAGAACGGCCCGGCCATATGGCTTGCACAAGCAAAAATCTGTTGCAAAGGAGGCATGCGAGAAATTGGAGAAAGAAGGAGTGGAACATAAACCACATAAGGACTGCAGACAGTATGAGGCCAAAAGTCTAAACGGCGGCCAAAAATGCTCGAGAAAACGTCAGTCAGACTTCTATCCGACCTCGCGAAATCGCGGGTCCAAGCTCCAATCCGACCCGCGAACACCGGCTCCTCCAATCCGACCCTGCGAAATCGCGGGACTTTCAATCCGACCCGACAAAAGCGCGGGTCACTTAAATCGAACCCGCCGAAACGCAGGTCACTTCAATCTGACCGACAAAATACGCAGGTCACTCCAATCCGACCGATTATCCAACTTGCGTCGTCCAAATCCGACCTTCGTTCCACTTGCGGGTCGTCCAAATCCGACCTTTCCAACTTGCGGTGTCCGTCAATCACGACTTAGCCAACTTGCGGGTCACCCAAATCTACTCGCACCATCAAGGCAGAAAAGTGTCTGCAACCGTATCTTTCGATTCTCAATCGAGTTCCCACCTCCGGTGAGATTTGTGACAGTGGGGTTGGATTTGTCCCATTCAAGAAATGACCATCAAAAGACCCTTGGCCTTACCCGATGACGCGGCAAACACCCGGTCAAAAGACGCTAGGCACGAGAATGAATCTCGAGCCACATTGTCAGGCGGAGGGTCAGCCTAAAGCATGAAGAAATTATAAGGAAAGTCCGTAAACTACCGCATTGGGACTGCGGTTGAAATCCGAGGCGCTGTTGAGGGCCGACATTCAGCAAAAACGTAGCGCTTAGACATCGACTGAAGAAGTGCGCTGGGAACAAGCGTTGTATCCTAGAGAAATACGTACTGTCAGACGAAGACGTATAGACTGGGAAGTCGTGCCAACACACATGGTTTGGCTCCAGTCATCAAACTGACGAGTTGTACTATCAAAGCTGGGGGTGGCGAACAAATCCAGGAAAATGAGTGGCGCCGGAAAACAGAGTTCTCACTGTCCATGTGCCAATCAATCAAGGCAGTGTTGTCAGAATGTTGCTGTTCCCGACAAACCCCGAGAGAGTTTCCAAGTATGAAGAATCTCCTCACGCAAAACGTCGAATCCAGACCAAGACGTTTCGAAGAAGAGGTTGTTTCCAAGATGATGAATTCTTAAAAGTATCTGTTAACATGAGCGAAGAGGAAAGTCAAGCACGACACTGTCAGATCCGGATCAGTTCGCCGGAAGTGTCCGCACGTATGACTCGATTGCGAACAGGGACAGTAGCGAAAGAACTACCAAAGAAATACAGAAGGGACTTCTTCAAGAAGATGAAACTTCGGAGGTATCTCGATGCCGGTCGATGCTTGCTCGGAGATGGCTCCGATGACACCTGACAAGTGCGGACAGTCTTATGAGTCACTTATGATTAGGCACTGAACAGATGGCAAAATACTTGAGGATGCCTGGACTAAGGCAGAGAGGAACAACTTCAAGTTCGAAATGGAAATGGCCATGCAGGCAGTGAAGAATGCATGACCAACAGATTGCGATATTGACAACCTCATTCAAGGAGAGAGCTAAGCCGTCGTAACATCCATCGACAACGCTGGATAATGATCGAGAAGGGAGGATAATGTCAACATGAACCACCCCTCCGTCAATAACCATAATGGGGCCCTTCGGATGATAACAATACGAAAGAGAGCCACGTTACCGTCCCCCGAAACCACTCGAAGACAGATACGGTGAAGACAAGAAGATGAGGGATGGAGAGTCGCAAGATCAATCGGTTGATGAATGCTCAGTAAAAGATGCCAGAAGGAAGTGAAAGGTCTGGACTCGCGTGCGTCCATACCCAAGGGAGTGGGAAATTCAATCCCGTATCCAGCCATCAATTTGACTCAATTCACGCCATTTGATGGAAAAGGGTTTTCCCTCACGCAGCATTTAATAACGTTCAGTCTCATTTGGAATAATCTCCGGGAATGACGAACCTCTGATGGTACGTCTATCGTCGCACTCTTCGCGGACCAGCCTTGGATTGGTATCGCCGGCCTCAAGCGGGGAGCATCGCCAGTTGGGATGACATGGAGGATATGTTTCTCACAAATTTTCTTGCGACGGACACTGAGGTCTCGATCGGGACATTATTTGATGAGAAACAAAGGAGCGGAGAGTTAGTAGACGAATTCATTAAGCGATTCCGAAAAGGCCCATGATTGTACGGGATCCGATTAGTGAAGACTTTATTCGGAGACTTGTCATAACAATCTTTCATTGTGATATTCTTTGAAGCTATGGGACATGGGCACGCATCTAAGACCTGAAAGACTTGAAGGTACCGAGGGAAAGAGCCGAACGTTTCCCTCAGAGAAAAACAAGCCGAAAGAGGTCAAACGACGGCAACCAGCCCCGCAACAAAATTTTGCGTCCCTAAGGGAAAAGGGAAAGGACACAGGTGGAAATGCAGTAGATGCGAACAAACATTTGAAGTGCAAGCGCAAACCGCAACAGCGCAGCAGAGGGCGCCTCAACAATTCCCCAACGGTGCAACAACAGCCTCAAAGGAACGAGAAGACTTCGACCAAAATTCCGAAGGTTTAACTCATTCAAGGAAGAGAAGTCCGGTATTTTTAAATACCTTATACGAAAACAATAAGATTAAGTTGCTCTTGACTCGCCCGTTCATTGCTTCGAGTTTCGTGTGGGCTCTCGTAGACAATTTTAGACGCCTACAGTTGTATCCTGGGAAGAAAAATTTGCATTAACCCGAAGTAACTTTGAATATCAAGTGGGGGAAAATATTTCTTTAAGGAAAGTGTTTCACGCCTCAGAATTTCTATCTCCTTCATTTTTAATATTAACAAATGAGTGGGCGATATACTGGAGTCGGTGGTGGACTAGAGCTGACTTCTCTAAAATAATTTGATGAACACCTCTCGGGCACGTCGCTGATTTCTGCTAGTATGTAGGGGCAATGAGGACGCGAGCCGGGTCAACCCGTTGGCTGATCCGACCCAACCCGGCCATAGCGGTCATGACCCAGTCTGGCTCGCCCAGCGATGCCGGGTCGGCGATTTGGCCTGCGGATATCGGTCACGGGTGTGGTCGGGTCCAGTTCCAGACCTGAGACGGGAGAAATCGACCCGGTCCACCATCGACCCTGCTCGGCCTGGCCCGGTCCGACCCAAAAATTTAATTTTTAACATAAACAACTAAGACCAGTAAATTAATCAAAGCTTAACTACCGACTTCTAACTATCCTTGCACAAACTCTTACAAATAACAAGAAAGAAAATAATGCGTTGTACTTGTATCACGTAAATGATAAGTCCTTCTCCCACTCTTCTTCGACAGTCAAGAAAACGGTTCTCCACCCATCAAAGAAGAGCTAAGAAGGCACATCTCTAATCGTCACATCTCGACACAGTCATCTGGAACAAGCACAAAGTAGAGATGTCCACCGAACCCACCCATGACCCAGCCAAAAGTTCAAATGATATCGAGCTATATGCTTGGTGCGACTGATAACATCCCTCAGAAACTCAATCACTCTAAAAAACTCAAATGATATCCAGCCATTAACTAATAATTTAATAGATTAAAAATAAAATTAATATAGTTTATAAATTAAAAAGAAAAAAGAAAAAAGTTAAAACCCACGGGTCGAACCACGACCCGTGGGTCGCGGGCTATGTCCGACCCGACGTACCCTTAGGCGGGTCATGGGCAGGGCTGGGTCCAATCACAGACCCTAGATCAGAGAAATAGGCACTGCCCACTTTGACCCGGGCGGCCCGAGTCAGTCCAGGCCCGGACTTGAACCCGATGGGTCGGGTCACGGGCCCGAACCGGCCCAGCCCACGCCCACCCCTAGCTTAGGTGAAGTTATGGTTAGTTGTGGGTGAGGAATTGCAATTTGCTGCACCATAGGTGAAGGTCTGATATTGGCTAAGAGGTTCTGGTTTGCGGTTTAGAAGCTTTCGTGGGTACAAAGTAGTTGTTTTGGGGGCTGATATTTTGCTAATTAAATATTTTTTCGGTCTACTTTTCTAATTAAGTGATAAATTGATCTATTTTAAAATTTTATCTTTTAGAAAAATTCATGATACTTTACTAAAACAAACAAATCTATTTTAGTTTACAATAAGAGAATTTTAATAATTCACGGAAAATATATTGAAACAGATCATAGAGGTAGATGCCATAGTATATAATTTACCACATGGAGCAAGCTGCGTGTATTAAGCTTAAATTATTCAGAAAAAAAAATTAACAAAATAAAAAGAAAGGAGATTTTTATTCCCAATGTTTGTTTCCACACGAGTACTAAGAGTACATAAACTTCCTATGGAAGAAATTTAAATTTATAAACGACAGTTACACATTTCTTCTTCCATATCATTTGGGAGTATATCATAGAGACCCGTAGGAAATCCAGTTATCAAACATAATCAGGCAATTCTTGGGTTGGTACTCTGCGGCCGTGTGACCAGCATTCTGCATTACCAAAGAGACATGAACTCTTCATAAGAATTCAAATTTAATACGCAATCGATAAATACAAACTCCTCACCTTCACTGTTGCAAACGTCAAATTATGAGAGTACTTTCTCGTGTATCTGATAGGCAAGGGGCAAAAAAAAAAAAACAATAGTCAAAAGTCATAATTTGAGACTCAAGTTCATGTGATTGCTAGGGAGAATTTATTACATACCCAGCAACTTGGCCATCCACATGCCAAGAGCGCCAATCATCGACAATAGAATAGCTGAGAGATCGAATCCACGCTTGTGTACCCATAAATGGTATAGTCATGTCATGATCGCCACTATGTAGACCGAAAGAATTAATGCGGTAAATCGCCATAGATTAAAGTTATAATGCATTATGCGGTCTATAGTTTTACCTGTATACCAATGCTCGGTACCCTTTCATGGTTAGATTGAGATGATATGCTACTGAGCTTTTGACATTCTGGGTATAAGCAAGGCTATAATTGCACCTAACCCATTCTTCCACGGTTCCCTGCTTCTCGTGAAACTAAGTTAGAAATATTAATTTTGTGAAGAAATTAAGTTTATAAATCATTGTATAAGGTTACAGAGTTAATTGCAGATACAATGTACTACGTGGGGTTTAGCTGCTGGCCTACTTATTACCACCCAACAATTTTGTTAGCGCATACAAACCTTGACTGATGAAGTTGATGGTGAAGATGAAGTGGTTGATTTGGGGAGTGGAGTGCGTAGTGCTGAGAAGATTAGATTGAAGAGGATGGTTCAGTAGAGGATGCTTAGCGGAGATTTTTTAGGGGTAACCATGCTTAGCGGAGGATTAGATTTTTTAGCAGTAACCTTTGACAAGCACTGTGTGGGACAACACTGGAAGAAAATTGCATTGCTGAAGATTATGCTCCCCAAATCTGAGATTTATTTATTTCAATATTTTGAAAAAGAAGGAGAGAGAGAGAGAGATAGTTTTCTTACTGAAGGAGCGTATTGACCTATTTTGTTATGGCCATGGTTTGATGATCTTAGTGTGGAGAAATCTGATAGCCGAGCTTTCCCTATTTGGATGCAAAACAGCCTAGGTTGAATTTATGAGAGATCTAGAGCTCTGTTTTAGGGTTTGATAGGTGAGATTTGTAACTCTATTTGTATTCTCTTAATTTCTAATAGTAAGAACTAAGGAGCGTATTGACCTATTTTGTTATGGCCATGGTTTGATGATCTTAGTGTGGAGAAATCTGATAGCCGAGCTTTCCCTATTTGGATGCAAAACAGCCTAGGTTGAATTTATGAGAGATCTAGAGCTCTGTTTTAGGGTTTGATAGGTGAGATTTGTAACTCTATTTGTATTCTCTTAATTTCTAATAGTAAGAACTCCCCCCCCCCCTTGCCCCGTGGTCTTAGGCAACTTGCCGAACCACGTTAAACTCGTTGTCTTGCTGTGGTACTGTGTTTGACTTATTAGTTGTGAATTATCTCTTGTTCTTGTTCGTGTCGCTTCGAGGCTTCCGCCGCGCCAACAATTGGTATCAGAGCTTCAGGCTTGTTCGAAGGATTCAGTGAAGAATTCCTATCTGAAGAGTTAGATCGACAACATGGGAGAAGCAAGCACATCAGGTTCTTCTCTTACAAAGGCAATACAGAGTCTGAGCATCAATAATACGAAGATTGATGTTCCGAAGTTCGACGGTAAGATTAATTTCGGATTGTGGAGGTGTCAAGTGATGGACGCCTTGGATGCACAGAATTTGGAGGAGACTCTTGAGTTACAAGAGAAACCCGAAGACATGGAGGATAAGGTTTAGAAGAAGATGAATAGTAGGGCTTGTGGAGTTATTCGGTCATGCTTGACGCCGGATCTTATTTATGATGTTATGAATGCGATGTCGGCGAAGAGAATGTGGGAAACACTCAATGAGAAGTATCTTACTAAGAGCATTGAGAATTGGCTTTACTTGAAGAATAGGTTTTACCAGTTCAAGATGAAGAGGTGAGTTTCCATCAGGGAGAATGTCAACAATTTCATGAAGCTACTTTCAGATATGACCAATGTGGATATCATGGTTGAGGATGAAGACAAGACGATGTTACTTTTGTGTTCGTTGCTGGAAGATGATTATGGTACGTTCGTTCTAACTATGATCAATGAAAGAACTACTGTTAGCTACAAGGAGGTAACCTCAGCTTTGGTGAATTATGAGTTGAGGAAGAGTGATGGTGAACCCTCCGAGAAGGCATCGGGAGATGCATTAGCTGTTCGAGGCCGAGATCCAAACCGCCGCCAGTTCAACTGCTCAAAGTCAAAGAATAGGAGTGCCTATAAGAGTGTTGGTAGAAACCAATGTCGGTATTATAAAGAAGAAGGACATTGAAAGATTGACTGCCCAAAGTGGAAGGAAAAAACCAGGAAGAACAAGGGAAAAGCTGTACAAGCTTCAGAAGTGAATGTTACAAAAGCTATTGATGAGCATTCAGATTCAGATTCTTCGGGCTATTCGTGCCCTGCACTACCGTCAGTTTGCTATGCTGATTCTACGGAGTGGATGATAGATTCGGGAGCTACATATCACATTGACCCTAGGAGGGATTGGTTCTCCAGCTTTGAGGAGTTGGAAAAATGGGATGTCGTTCTTATGGGTAATAACCACGTATTCCCTATTGGTGGTATTGGTTCAGTCCGGATTAGGATGCATGACGGAGTGATTAGGGAGTTGAAGGAAGTGAGGTTCGTGTCGCAGTTGACGAAGAACATTATTTCTCTTGGGACTTTGGAGGCAGCTAAATATAGAGTGATCTTAGAGGATGCTACAATGAAGGTCACGAAGGGTTCTATGGTGGTGATGTGAGGTGTCAGGAAAAACAACCTATACTACTTGAAGGGCAAGATAGTTACAGGAGGTCTGGCAGCTTCTATCACTACAGAGAAGGACACTATCACTTTATAGAACATGAGACTTGGACACACAGGTGATAAATCCTATAGTCATTGAAAAAATAGGGGCTATTGAAAGGTGCTAAGACCTGTAAGATGGAGCTGTGTGAGCATTGTGTACTTGGAAAGAAGACTAGAGTAAAATTTGGCACCGCTGTTCACAACACCCGAGGTACATTGGATTATATTCACACAGATATTTTGGGTCCTTCCAAGAACACATCTCTTGGTGGGGCCAATTATTTTGTCACTTTAATTGATGATTATTCCAGGAGGAATTGGATATACCCTATGAAGCATAAACATCAGGTCCTGAATATTTTTGTGGAGTGGAAAAAGAAAGTGGAGCTGTAGTTAGGAAGAAAGAACGTTTTTGATCAGTTTTTGGGAGAGGATTGCTGCATCCAATTGTGAAAGATTTGTGAGAGATCTAGAGCTTTGTTTTAGGGTTTGATAGGTGAGATTTGTAACTCTATTTGTATTCTCTTGATTTCTAATAGTAAGAACTCCCCCCTCATTGCCCCGTGGACGTAGGCAACTTTCCGAACCACGTTAAACTCGTTGTCTTGCTGTGGTATTGTGTTTGGCTTATTAGTTGTGATTTATCTCTTGTTCTTATGCATGTCTCTTCGAGGCTTCCGCCGCGCACAACAGAATTTAAATTTGTGTAGCCGTTTGTGCTTGTCAAAGGTTACTGCTCGACATGAAATATTAGCTTATGCTCCTGTATTGATTGAGGTAACTACGCCAAATGTCTTGGTAAAATTTGTTTTCATAATATGTAAAAAAGTACATAATCGCATCATTGATAACACTATCAAATACTTCATTCTTAGTATATGTTTCTAGTCATGGGTTGCAAATTTATAGTTCTCGACATATGTCACTAATCACTGGTTTCTTGGTTTGAACTTTGAATTGCGGGATGGGTATCGATGAATAAATTTTAGAAAATCACTCTGAAGTTTGGGTTTTCCTTCTGATGACCCCCTTAACTTTCAAATTGTCACAAAAGCCTCCCTAAGTATTAGAGCACTTAGGAGACCCCCTTCAACACTCAACATCTTTCACAGAAAAAATCCTAACGACCTTAATCGCGGTTTCCACATGGATGGATTACTTCTATTGGAGAAGACATGTCAAATTTGAAGTGCCACAGACGAGTGCCTGTGGGCTCTACAATCATGGGGTGGGGGATTTTGATCATTTATTTTTCATTTGTTCATTTGCTGCATTTGTTTGGAAGAAAATAATGGAGTGGTTGCAGATAGAAAGGGATCCCATAGGTTGGGGGAGAGAGATTGAGTGGTTGTATTAATAGAGGAAGCGTAAGTCCATGAAGGTTATGAAGAGAATTGACCTCAACGGCGATGGCGACGATATCGTCGGAGATGGAGGCAGCGAACGGTGACGGACCTCAACGGCAACAACGGGGAGAGGGGAGGGCGAATCGATGATGGACCTCACCTGCTTTGCGTCGGACCTTGCCTGCGGGCTTTGGAGAGGCGACGAAGCCTCGCTTGTAGCGGTGGAATTCGAGGAGCTCGCCTACGGAGCCAGATCTTGCCTGCAGGGCTTTGGAGGAAAGCTCGACTATGGGCTTTGGATAGGCGATGAGGAAAACTCGCCTGCGGAGCGAGATGTCGCTTGTAGGGCCTTGGTGCTTGCCTGCGTGGGTGGGATCTAGTTGGATCGCACAAACTGCCCTAGGGTTTCCCTATAAAAGGGTAACCCTATTCATGAGATGAAGTGGAGCTTAACTCACGATTTTAACAGAGGAGAATTTCTTCTCTGTGGCGGCGACACTTCTCAAGAGTTTAAGAAGTGAATTTTTTGGTGAAGAGAAATTGCATAAGTCCTGTAGCAAATATTTACTACAGTGAAGAGTTATTGTTGTGAGAGATCTCAAGTTTGAGATTCTCTCTTTTACAAGCTTTGTAATTTCTTGTGGTTAAATAAGAAATTATTTGTGCGGCTCCAGTGGACGTAGGCAAGTTTGCCGAACCACATAAATCTGTTGTCTCGTCTCATTTAATTATTGTTTTATCTGTGTATTCGTTATTACATGTGTTGGTTAGTTTGAGTTTGGCATAAAATTAAGCTAGGGTTGTTTTCTCTTAGGATTAATTAGCTTCCGCGGCGATGTGAGCGTCTCTCGCCCCCAACAATTGGTATCAGAGCGCTTATTCAGATTAGTGGTGGTTGAATTTCCAATTTGAGTTGGTGCTTGGTTATTGTGTGGTGCACACAAGGTATTTATTGAAAGTCCTGAGAGAATTGGATTTATTAATACAAGCGGAGAATGACGTCTACAAGTAAAACAGTTAAAGTGGGAAAGTATGAGATCGAGAAATTCAATGGAAAGAATGATTTTTCCTATTGGAGGATGCAGATGAAAAACTCGCTGATTTCACAGAAATTGCACAAGGCTTTGGCGGAAAAAGAGAAGAAGCACAAGGATATGTCTGATGATGATTGGGACGAGCTGGATCTGGAAGCACGGGCGTCAATTATCCTTTGCCTTGAAAGGGATATAGCTTTCTTAGTAGATGGAGAGATAACGGCTGCGGGCGTGTGGTTAAAGTTAGAAAGCACCTTCATGATGAAGAGTATAATGAACCGGATCTATTTAAAATCCAAATTGTATACTTGTTATGTCGTCACGGGTGGTGAGGATACCTTCGGGAAGTGGATACTTGATTCTGGTTGCTCTTACCACATGTGTCCAAATAGGAAGTGATTTACTACCTACAGGAGCATTATGGTGGAACCGTATTGATGGGGAACAACCATGCATGCTTGTAAAACTATAGGGCTAGGTGATATCAAGATCAAGATGCATGATGAAGTGGTTCGAACCTTAACGGATGTTAGGCACATTCCCGACATGCGGAAGAATCTTATCTAAGTTGGTGCTTTAGACTCCGTGGGTTGCAAGATTGTAACAGAGAACGAAATAAAGAGGGTTGTTCGGGGTTTCTTAGTAGCGATGAAGGGCATTCGTCACGGTAACCTATATACTCTCTTGGGTACGATGGTGATAGGAGATGCAGCTGTTGGAACTGATGGAAGTGGTGGAGACCCATGTGAGCACATACGGTTATAGCATGGGCAACTTGGGCACATATCAGAGAAGGGTCTAGATCTGCTTTGTAAGAAGGGTCTGCTGAAGAAGCTGAAGAAACCTTGCATGGATTTTTACGAGGATTGTGTGTATGGAAAGGCGCACAAGGTCCAGTTCTTAAAAAGCAATCACAAGAGCAGAGGTGTACTAGATTATATGCACACGGATGTTTGGGGTCCGGCTTAGACAACTTCCAAGGGTGGTTCTAGGTATTTTGTATCGTTCATAGATGATCATTCAAGGTATGCTTGGATTTATTTTCAGAAGCATAAAAATGAGGTATTCGAGACATTCAAGAAGTGGAAGGCGAGGGTTGAGAACAGGATAGGAAAGAAATTGAAGACATTAAGATCTGACAACGGTACAGAGTATACAGATGGTGCCTTTAAGGAGTTCTGTGATCAGGAGGGTATTGTCAGACACTGGATAGTTAGATCTACACCACAGCAAAATAGGATTGCGGAGAGACTGAACCAAACACTATGAGAGAAAGCAGTGAGTATGCGATCATATGCTAGTTTGGGCAAGGAATGATGGGCAGAAGCGGTTGCTACAGCTTGTTATATAGTGAACCGTTCTCCACATTCGACATTGGATGGTGATACACATTATCGGGTATGGTCAGGTGAGCATGCAGATTACGATAGACTCAGGATTTTCAAATGTACCGCCTACTATCACATCAACGAGGGAAAGCTTAACGCGAGGGCCAAGAAAGCAATATTCTTGGGATATGCAAAGGGTGTAAAAGGTTATCATCTTTGGTGTACAGAAGATTCCAAGTTCATGATCAGCAGGGATGTAACCTTTGATGAGATATCCATGATTGTCAAGGCATTCAAGAATGGTGGTGTTGGGACTGTTGGGACCTCTAAGTCCCAGGTTATTGAGATAGAACCTAAAGACCAATCAGGTTTTAGTCATGTTCAAGTGAAGAATCATGAAGATGATGAGCTTGAACAAGAGGAGGTTCAACAAGAAAATGTACAAGCATTACAACAACAACAGCTCGAAGATAATTTGGCTTCCACTAGGCTAAGGCGAGCATACAAGCAGGTTCAGAAGCTGGGGTTAGATTAGCCTCTGAAGCATTATGGGCAAGTAAATTTGGTTGAATACGCACTCTCGGTGGAGGATGATGAGCCGGTCACCTTCAAAGAAGTTATTCGAGACAAGGATAGCGAGAGTTGGTTGGCTGCGATGGAGGAAGAGATGGAATCTCTCCGAAAGAACCAAACATGGGAGGTGATCCCATTGCCCGTAGGGAAGAAAGCTATAGGTTGTAAGTGGGTGTACAAGAGAAAGGAGGATCCTTCCGAGCTCGACGGTACAAGGTACAAGGCTAGGCTAGTGGCTAAGGGGTTTGCACAAAGAGAAGGTGTGGATTACAATGAGATCTTTTATCCGGTGGTAAAACACACATCTATTCGAGTGCTATTGAGTATTGTTGCTCATAGTGATCTTGAGCTGGAACAACTTGATGTCAAAATGGCCTTCTTGCACAGAGACTTGGATGAGGATATCTATATGCATCAGCCTGAGGGTTACAAGGTTGAGGATAAGGAGAATCAAGTATGTCACTTGAGGAAATCACTATATGGATTGAAGCAATCTCCTCGGCAGTGGTACAAGCGATTTGACTCCTTCATGCTAAAGCATGAGTTCTCCAGAAGCGATTATGACTGTTGTATTTATATTCGGAAGCTTCGTGGAGGTAATTATATCTATCTTATTTTGTATGTGGATGACATGCTTATTGCATCGAAGAACAATGTGGAGATAGATAGACTAAAATCTCAACTTGGTAAAGAGTTCGAGATGAAGGATATGAGCGCTGCTAAGAAAATACTGGGTATGGAGATTAGAAGAGAGCGGACGAATCGGTGATTGTTCTTGAGTCAGAAGGGCTATATAGAGTAGGTGATCGCGAGGTTTGGGATGCAAAGTACTAAGTCCGTGGTGACTCCATTGGCCCCACATTTCAAGCTCTCGGGTAAACAATCTTCCACTATAGCGGAAGAGAAGACACACATGAAACGTGTACACGTCCAGATATTTCACAGACGGTTAGTGTGGTCAGCAGATTCATGGTGAATCTGGAAAAGACGCACTGGGAAGCGGTAAAATGGGTCCTAATGTACTTGAAAGGTACCGCGGATACGAGTCTATGTTTTGGTGGAGATACATGTCAGATTGATGGGTTTGTGAACTCAGATTATGCGCGTGATCTAGACAGATGACGATCTACTACTGGTTATGTATTCAGAATACATGGCGTTCCAGTTAGTTGGCGATCGATGCTACAGGCTACAGTGGCACTTTCTACTATAGAGGCTGAGTATATGGCCATGACAGAGGGAGTGAAGGAAGTATTGTGGTTGTGTGGTCTGTTAGAAAATTTGAGGATTGAGCAGGATTGCGTAAACTTGTGGTGCGATAGTCAGAGTGTAATTTATTTGACTAAGAATCAAGTTCAGCATGCTCGTACCAAGCATATTGATGTCAGGTATCATTTGTGCGGGGTGTCATAGAGGAATGTGATATTTTCTCATGAAGGTGCACACGAATGAGAATCGAGCAGACATGTTGACCAAGGTGGTGATAGGTAGCAAGTTTTAATATTGTCTGAACTTGCTCCATATCAGCCCGTGTTGATCTACCCAACAGGGAAATTGCGGAACTACGATTAGCTTGATCCTAGTCAGAGGATACGTAGGCAACCATGGTATAATGGTGCAGCTGGTTTGGCCTGGTTTAGTGTCCGCAGTGTTCTTCTGGTGTTCGTCCAAAATTTAAGGTTCGTCAAATAATGGACGAGGTGGAGAATTCAAGAGAACTGACTTTGACGGTGACGGCAACGATCTCGTCAGAGACTGAGGTAGCGAACGGCGGCGGACCTCGACGGCGACGGCGGGATAGGTGAGGGCGAATCGATGATGGACCTCACCTGCTTTGCCTTGGACCTTACCTGTGGGCTTTGGAGAGGCAACGAAGCCTCGCCTGTAGCAGTGGAGTTCGAGGAGCTCGCCTACGGAGCCATATCTTGCATGAAGGGCTTTGGAGGAAAGCTCGCATGCGGGCTTTGGACATGCGATGAGGAAAGTTCGCCTGCGGAACGAGATGTCGCCTGCAGGGCCTTGGTGCTCGCCTGCGTGGGTGGGATCCAGCTGGATTGCACAAACTGCCCTAGGGTTTCCCTATAAAAGGGAAACCATGTTCACTAGATGAAGTGGAGCTCAACTCGTGATTTTAACAGAGGAGAATTTCTTCTCTGTGGCGGCGACACTTCTCAAGAGTTTAAGAAGTGAATTTTTCGGTGAAAAAAAATTGCACAAGTCCTGTAGCAAACATTTACTATAGTGAAGAGTTGTTGTGAGAGATCTCAAGTTTGAGATTCTCTCTTTTACAAGCTTTGTAATTTTTTATGGTTAAATAAGAAATTATTTGTGCGGCTCCCGTGGACGTAGGCAAGTTTGCCGAACCACGTAATCTATTTCTTATCTCATTTACTTATTATTTTATCTGTGTATTCGTTATTGCTTGTGTTGGTTAGTTTGAGTTTGGCATAAACTTAAGCTAGGGTTGTTTTCTCTCAGGATTAATTAGCTTCCGCGGCGGTGTGGGCGTCTCTCGCCCCCAACAGGTTAGAATTTCCTTTGTCCTCTTTAGCAGCAACAATGCATCACTTTTGGAAGAAGAGGAACTGTTGAAGTTTTCAACAGGTTGCATGCAGTCCTATTGTTATTGTTCATCAGATGAAGATTGATGTTATCGCAAGGGTTTTGCAATAGCATAATTTCCTTGCATTAGAAATTGGGATGATTTGTAACTGATCCTCAATTTTGATGTCCTTTTGCTTATTTGTTTTTAAGCATTGCTTGTAATTACCAGGGATGCCTTTGAGAGCGTATACGCAATTTTCCAATTGGTTAATAAAAATTTTCATCTACCTAAAAAAAGAAAATAAAAGAGAAAATTTTATATTTCAATTATTCTTTTAAAAGATTATAATAGATGAACGCATTGAAGTATATAGCAACCTATCAATGTGCATCATATCATGTAAGTTTTCATATATCAGTTGTCTACATAACCAAATAAACAAATAAGTCCAAAACCATGATTTTTGGCGCACCTTCTTGACATGGAGGGCCTCTCTGGTGTTGTAATCATTTGCCCAAAAGTAGGATAGAAAATAAGGGTATGTCTGCAAAAAAAGTTCTGTCATATTAGTCAATGATGAAGTTGGCGGTATGTGCTATATTTGATAGCAGTTTTGAAAGGTAGCCACCCCGAACTTACTCCTATTTCATGTTACCCCCTTGATATCCTAAGATTTTATACGTTACATTAGTCCCGTTTGTGACGGAACAAAGCCAAAATGTTGAAGTAACCATACCCGTAGAAATTTTTCAGTGGCACCATTGATGTAACCACAACATCAAAGATTACACAATCACAAGAATATGAAGTATCATCCACCACAATATAGTGTTTGTTACTAAACAATATCAAAATTAGGCAAATGCTCAAAATAGAGGCTAAGAGGTTCCATCAAACTATAGACTTTTCGGATGGAAAATTGGATGGAAAAAGGCATGAGTGGTTATATGTTGATGGACTGTGGTACATAGGGGTGGTTTTCCTGAAACTCAGGTAATTAAGGATGGTAATGTGAAATAGCGCCAAGTTAGGAGTGATTTTCGATAAGCAACCCAATCTAATAATTGTGAAAAAAGTTATTTGACTTACTCTACACTTCAAATCAGGAAACACTTCTTGCGGTGGGAGGATCTTTGAATGCTTATCCTGTAAATACCTACCACCAAACATTTGTTTTCTTTGAGGATAATCTTTAGGACATTTGGGATCCAAAATATAGTCTCTGAATAGTTCGGCTCCGATCTGCATACATGAGAAATGAATTACTACTTGACAAGACGTAAATTAGACCGTACAAGGCGCTCACCATCTCAAATCTATTAAGAGCTGAGGTGCATATTAAGTTGAGGGGATTACGATTACTGTAATCCTCTCCTTCACAACGTTCACGTATCACCTGACAAACAAGATTATATATTAACAAAAAAAAATGATATACAAAGGACGATACATGCTTTGAGAGTTTGATAGGTGGCATTATGACTACATTTCTCTTTGCATTAAGTGACAATACCTCGTAATGCTCATCTGAAATGATGCCCATTGCATGTGCAAATTCGACCCGAGAATTGAAATCAACAGCTTCACCAGTGATCGGATTGCCAACTAAATAACCCTGAAACCAAACGATAAATTGATAACCAAATACGTCCATACTTTTGTTTTAATTGCTTTGTTATCCAAAATCTAGCTTATCGAGAAATAGATCATGCCTAGTAAACTATAAAAAAAGGTCATCTCATGAGAATCTGGGAGAAGTTGCTTATTCCATACATCTACTTTTTTTCCATACTTAAATGAGAATCCAGAGAATACTGTTTACGGTACAGTAAATACTGTAGCATAAATAGTGAACCAAATCTAGTCATCTCCACGGGAAGTTATTATTCGTGCTACTGTAAATTTACTGTAGCATAAACAGTAAATCGAATATGCTCATCCAAACTTGAAGTTACTATTCGTACTACAGTATTTTACTATATCCTAAACACTAAAGCAAATTAAATGTATTAAAACTAGGATCTTTTTTAAGTATAGAGGAGTAATATAATTTTTAAATTAAATGTAGATATAATTTTTAAGTATAGATGAGTAGATATGAATCTAATTTTAAATATACAATAATTAATCAAATGTATTAAAACTTAGAGGGTGACAAGTTTAAAATTTCGTGCTTAAAAAAAAGGGAGTCGTGCTTTGCACATGATGCACACTACTTTGCACGGGGTGCACACTAGTACAATATAAAAGCCAGAACCTAGTGGGTGGGGGAGGGTGCACAGTGATGGGACTGGAAACAGTGTGAAATATCTGGACAGTGATGGGACTGAATGATTTGGACCTGAAATCTTTTTTTTTTGGGGTTTACTTCTAGCTAGATTAGAGAATGAATTGGATGTCCCTTTATCGACAAAGAAAATTGTGAAGCTTAAGGAGCCTCGTAGTGATCTCAAGGTGTCTCTCATTCAGTCCTTGTTATTCCTTTGTAGCAGTGTACATTTTTTATTAGAATTGAACTTCTTAAATTTATTTCTACGTTGTTTGATTTTTATTTATTTCTTTAATGATATATATAACATAAACATCTGAAAGATAAATAATTTTTTATTATTTCTATGTAAATATAACCTACCGACTATGTTACCCCGACACGATCAAATTGGTCTTGTACCCGTGTCGGGTATGTTTTGGGTGCGGATCCGTACCCAAACGGCAGGGACACGGTGATTTCAAGAGTGAGAGGGAAAAGCTACAAACCTGGAGGAGGGAAGACAGTTGAGGGAGGAGTAAACGACGATCTTAGAGGGACAGCGAGCTTCAAGGGATGACGAGCGTCAAGGGGGGAGCCGACAACGAGAATCGAGGGAGGATTTGGCGATGAGATACGAGGGAGGAGTCGGCGACGAGATACGAGGGAGGAGTCGGCGACGAGATTCGAGGGAGGAGTGAACGACTAGCTTCGAGGGAGAACAGTGAACTCAAGCCCAAGAATCCACTTGGAGTCACAGATCTGAAGGAGGAGAGAGGAGGGAGAGAGGAGCCGATCTCATTAGAGTGATCTGAAGGAGGAGAGAGGAGAGGCGCCGATGTCTGGATAGTCTCGTGGCGGTGTGGAGAAAAATGGCATGTAGGGTTTTCTTTTTTTCTTTTTGTTAGAGGGATCTAGGGTTTGGGTTTGGGTTTGGCCCGTTTGGGTTTGGGTTTAAGGAGTGAGCTTATTTCACAATTTGAAATTAAACATAATAAAATTGCTATAGTTAATATAATTGTTAATTATATATATATATATATATATATTGGAACCCACGTGAAGAGATTGGCCACGAAGTTCTGGAAACCGTGTTTGAGGATATTGTTTAGCGGACAAAAGCAAGGCCCACCCGAAAACAACTTTGAAGCTATAAATAGATTTATTTGTGCCCTAGGTACGAGTGCGCAAGGAAGAAAAATTTGGCAGATAGTTTTCGGCAGTGCAAAAGTGGGGGAGAACAGCAGCCTTCGTGCAAGGTTTTCTTTCGGCTGTGGGTAATTTTTCGACAAAGGAGAAATTGCTGTGCAGGGAAGAAAGTGCCGATTTTTGAGAGAGAAAAAGTATTTGGAGGCTGACCTTTTCTTGTGAAGAAAAGCAAGGAGCCTATTTGAGGGTTTAGATTGTGAGAGTTGTAAACCCATTTGTATTCTTTTTCTCTATAATAGTAGGTCAGTCCTAGAACTGATGAGAGGAAGAGCCGATATCTCACTTGGTTGAGATATCCGCTTCAGATTCTTGTTTCCTTGGTGAGACGGGAATTCTTATCGATCTAATCTCTCTTGTTGTGCTGCCAAAGTGCTGCCGAAATTTTCGCTGCGCACAACAAGTGGTATCAGATCTCGGGCTACGCTTGGGCTATTTGGAGGAGTAGATCGCTTTGGAAGTTCATCTAGGGCTTCGTTTGGTGATAAAGGTGAGATCTTTTGGTAAATACTCTATCTTTCAGTTTTGGATCTATTCTTTGTTCGTTGGTGCGTAAGATGTCGGGGAAAGAAGGTGCTTCGGGAGTCGAGGGGGGTTCTTCTGGCGTGAAGACTATTCAGAGTTTGAATATCCACTCTATGAAGATAGATGTGGAGAAATTTAATGGCACAAACAACTTTGGATTATGGAGATGCGAGGTTTTGGATGCGCTGAACGCGCAGAATTTGGAGGATACATTGGAGTTAGATGACAAGCCAGATGAGATTGAAGAGAAGGTTTGGAAGAAGATGAATCGAACGGCGTGTAGTGTGATTAGGTCTTGTTTGACTCAAGATCTAAAATATGATGTGATGAATGAGACTTCTGCGAAGAAGATTTGGGAGATTCTCGAAAGCAAGTATTTGACCAAGAGTGTGGAAAATCGATTACATTTGAAGAGGAGGCTTTATCGTTTCCAATTGAAGAAGGGAACCTCCATTACAGATCACATGAACCACTACACTAAGCTTCTTGCGGATTTGGCGAACGTGGATGTTATAATTGAAGATGAGGACAAGGCGTTGTTGCTATTGAGTTCCTTGCCCGACGAGGAATATGAGACCTTCGTCCTTACTCTTATTAATGGGAAGGCATCCCTTTCGTATAGTAAGATTGAAGATGAGGACAAGGCGTTGCTGTTGTTGAGTTCCTTGCCCGACGAGGAATATGAGACCTTCGTTCTTACTCTGATTAATGGGAAGGCATCACTTTCGTATAGTGAGGTCACCGCTGCACTTGTGAATTATCAGCTTCGAAAGAAGGATAAGGAGGCTTCGGTTGAGCCGGTAGCGGAGGCGTTGGTCGCAAGAGGGAAGGGTCCAAACCGAAAGAATTGGAAGTCACAGTCTAGAGTAGGAAAAGATCAGTGTGCTTGGTGCAAGGAGACTGGTCATTGGAAGAAAGACTGCCCAAAGCTCGACGAATGGATGAAGAATAAGCAGAAGGGGAAAGGGAAGCAGCCATCATCAGAAGCAAATATCGTATCGGATGGTAATAATTCTGACTCTTCTATTTATTCGCTTTCTATCAGTCCTACAGATAGCTATTCGGAGGAATCTGAATGGATGTTGGATAGTGGTGCGACCTATCATGTGTGCCCTAGAAGGGAATGGTTCTCCAGTTTTGAGAAGCTGGTGGATAGTGGTGTGGTGTACATGGCTGATAACCGTGCATGCCAGATCCTTGGGATAGGAAGAATTCGCATAAAGATGTTTGACGGGACTGTTAGGGAGATAAATGATGTGAGATATGTTCCTTCTTTGAGGAAGAACTTGATCTCGATTGGAGCTTTGGTTGGAGAGGGTCTGAAGGTTCGTGTTGAGGACATGGTTCTCGAGATTGCGAGAGACTCTCGTATTTTGATGAAGGGTGTCAGGAGAAATAACCTGTATTACTTGAATGGAGGTATAGTGGCAGGTGAAGAACTGACGACTTCTGTTGATTCGACTAGACTGCGGCATTTGGGGCTTGGTCATTCTAGTATTGATTCCTCGCATAGATTGAAAGAGGGTGCAAAGACCTGCAGTTTGAAGTCCAGTGAACATGTTGATGTGAGCAAGAAGACCGAAGTGAAGTGTGGCACCTCTATTCACCGTGCTAAGGGTCGTTCTGGAGGAGTTCACGTGGATGTTTGGGGGCCTTCCAAGGGGGCATCATTGGGAGGTAATAGAAGTTTGGTTTCCTTTGTTGGTGGCTGTTCTAGGCGTGTTTGGGTTGCAATCAAATCCCCTTTGGAGAAAGTCCTAGTAGTATCCAACAGATTGAAGAAGTGTGATATTGGCAGAAAGGTGAAGGTACTCCATTCTGGTGGGAGGTACAAGATGGACCTGTTTCTGTATTAGAGCCGAGCTCACGGCATTTCGAGACACTTCGTTGGAAAGGAAATCTTGGGGCAACTTGATAATGTGACAAATTTGGAGAACCGTGCCTTTCTGGAGGAGGATCGGTGTTTGTGGTCGAGCAATGGTTTGAAGAAGAGTTTCTGGACCGAGGCTTCGACATATTTGGGTCATCCAATTAAAGAGTTGTCAACTGCTGTGATAGGAGGTAAAACTCTTTTAGAAGATAGGTCTGGTAGTGTCACTTCGGTTGAGGCTTCGATGAGGAAGCCAATTGACTCTCAGCAGGTGGAGAGTTTTGGACAGACCTTAGAGGTATCGCAGCGGGTGAGAGTGATGCTACTCCACATTGGGTGAAGATTACTCCAGATCATACTGCATTATTTAGGATTCCAGCTGAGGTGACACAGCGTGGAAGTCATTTAGATTCGGATGCAGATGATGAGTTGGGTTTTGACTCGAGTGCAGCTGATAGATATAGTTTGGATATGGCCATTGGTTCACCTCAGGTGGAGGTGTTTGAGGTCATTGGAGGTGCTATCAGCCGCATAATTGATGATATTGGAGAAGGGTTGCGAACTCTTCTATTGGATTGAGGTCGTTCGCGGCCATTTTGGTGAACTACGTGAGGCTTGATTCCTTGGACAAGAGGATACGTAGACAGTCTTTATGATGCAGCCGGGTTGGATTTTGATGGGGGTGAGATCGATTTGGTGAGTTGATACTGACATTTGGAGAGTGTTTGCATTCTCATTTGGGTTGTCGTGAATTGTTTTACGGTGT